CCCCTCCTTCCGCTGCTCCTTCCCTACTTCATTCCGCTGCTCCGTCACTGAATCGAAGTCCGTGTGCAGGAGTGACAGGCTCTTTCCTGGGTCTTCTCATCGCTTTCCGCGCTCAAACAGGTTCGTTGCTCCTCCTCGTCTTCATCCTCTGACCTCCAGCTGGCTTCAGGGTATGAGCGATACTGGGAGGCGAGGAAAGCGTGGGGGGACGTGCACAAGAGATGTCGGTCACTTGCAAGGTGAGGGGAGAGAAGGAGGAGGAGGAGGAGGAGAAGGAGGAGGAGAAGGAGGAGGAGGTGGTGGTGGTAGAGGAGGAGGAGGGATGGGGTTGGGGGGATGTCATTTTAACAAGAGCACCGTCAGGTTGATCATTGTGAACCTTGCTTCCAAAAAGGGTTTCCTTCCCATGGTCACTAGAGTCCTTCAGGTCGCTTCCTCCCTTTCCTTCAGCTCGCTGACTCTCCTCAAGATTCTCACCGCCTACCCTTATGCCCTCAAGCAGCACCTCCGCGGCGAATACAGGTACTGCCATCCCCCTCCCCTGCCCTTTGCTGCTGCTGCTGCTGCTGCTGCTGCTGCCGCTGCCGCCGCCGCCGCCGTTTGGTGGTGGTGGTGCTCCTTCTCGTTCTAGTATTTCTCGTCTCTCTCCCTCTTGTCTCATCACTTGCTTGCAGCCTGACGGAGCTCAGCAACTTCTTAACGGCTGAAGACCTGAAGGCTCTACCAGAGGTACTCCTGCTGCTGCTGCTGCCGCCGCCGATGCCTCTACCCGTGCTCCTGCCCCTGCTGTCCACGAGCAAACATCTGGACCGGAGGAATCCTTTTATCTCTTATCTTTGGCTTGTTGTTAACTCTTCATCCTTACCTGCTCCGTCCATTGCAGGCTTCCAACATGCCTCTTCAGCTTTGCTTCGCTCTCTCACTCGCAGTTCGTCCTCTCCTCCTTGAAGCGAGGTCTTCCACCTGCTCTTCCACCCCTCCCCTTCCTCTCCTCCTCCGCTCCTTCTTCTCCGTCCCATCGCTTCCTAGTCATACTGTCCAGCTCCTCCTTTGTCTGTTACTCTCTCCTTCTTGCCCCTTCCTCGCTCCTTTCGCGGTCTTCTTCCCTGCTCTTGCTTTCATTTCATTCTCTCGCGCTCCTCCTCCTCCACTCTCACCATCATCTCCTCCCCTTCCTCACTCTCCTTCAGTGGCCCGCAGCAGCGAACTCTGTGGAGTCACCTGGATCTGCACATCCAAGAGCTCTCCTCCGCCATCGCCCGCTCTGAGCGCCTCGCAACTACACCAGTAAGCTGAGCCGAACGCGGCGATGGACGAGGGAGGAGGGAGGGAGGCAGGCGGGGAGATGGGGAGAGAGGAAGGAGTGAGGAGGAAGGGAGCAGAGCTCTAAGCTAGGCATCAGGTTCCTCTCTCCTACTCTCGTCATACTTCTCGATTTCTCTCGGTGAGCAAGAGGGCATGTCGCCTGCTGCTCCCTGACGGCCCTCAGGTCTGGACCCTCACCCTCCCCTTCTTCCTCGTCAGCTACTGCGGACCTCTCATGGCTATGGTACCTTCCTCTCCTCCTGCCCTGCCGCTCCCTCCCCTCTTCTCCCCTCCTCCTCTCCTCCTCTCCTCTTCTCCCTGCCCCCTCGACTTCCCTCCCCTCGCGCTCTTCTTCCCTTCTTCCTCCTCGCCCTCCTCCTTCCCTCTGACTCTCCTCAGGTCGCTCACTTTTTCATCTGCTGGGCTCTCCTTGGCACCGAGGTCAACTGATCCTCCCCTCTCCCTCTCCCTCTCCCTCTCCCTGTTCTCCTTCTTCCTCTGACTGGAGTAGATGGTCGGCCACATGATCGAGGAACCTTTCGGCACGAGGCTCAACTTTCCTCCTCCTAGTGTGTCAGAGTTCGGGTGAGGCGCGAAGTTCCCTC